AATCCATGTACAAGGAGATGAAGATGACACAGGCTAGAAATGAAGCACACGATGTAAATGTAAACAAAACAAAAATGAAAAAATCAAGGAAAGGCAAATTAGATAAACTGGCCTGTAAATTTCTACGATCCGGCGCCAAAGCCATAGAAATACTTAGAACAAACTATGGGAGCTTGCTGTTTTTATTTCATGTTTTGTCGGAGAAATGCGCGGCCCTTTGAGTGGATACTGCAGATGAACGAGTTCGCTCTTGAGTTCTGCCCCTTGTCATCATCTTCTGTTCTTATTTTGTAGCACCTCCAATGTTATCCGCATCAGGAAATTGCGTTTTACTCGTATTTGAGAGCGCAATTAAAGGACTTGGCAAAGTGCCAAGGAGCCGCACGCGACAGCGCTTGCAACGGATGTTATGAACGGCGGGAATCTGCGCCGTAAAAAGGCAGTGGGCGGAGCATGGAAGAATTAGCGTGTTTCACGGCCCTGTATCTCCATTCCCGGGCATGTTTGGGGGGGGACCACGACACATCGACATCTGGGGGGCTGATAGTCTCATACACCCTCAATGTGTACAAGCGTACTATGTGTTCTTATTTTAAATAAGATAGTAACCCGCCCACTCATCTCGGCGTATATCGAACTGCCAATTGATAGGATCAGCCATCATCACTGTGGACTAGACATCACTTTCCAAGTTTGGCCAAAATGTTGATCCGCTTGCGATATTAATTTCGGGCGACTTAATAACCATGGGCGGGGGTACACCTTACAAACGCATTTTGTTAGTGTGTCCTTTTTTCCTTGGTATTCCCCGATATCTCCCCGTAGTCGTCTCACCCTGCTTAGTCCTTGAGCTTCCTGCCAATTACAAAACTTCCTATCTAGTTCTTACATTAGTCTTTCAAACGAACGGACAAGCAATCGCAGTGCTCGTTCCACCCAAGCGATCCTGCGGCGATGCGCGCCAAAGATGCTGATGTTAGTTAGTTTGTCCATCTAGCAGCGAAACTCCTCATGAAAATAAGCGAACCCAAAGTCTATGCGGGCGATATCGATAGTTATAATCAAAATGAACTGGCGGCAGAAAAACTCGTCTAAGGGCCACCACCACACCCACGACGCGGCCCATATTACGGATTGATTGTCACACGCCCAACTGAACACCATTTCTTCATTTTCTTCCAAATTTTGATCAGTCATTTTAACAAGTTCGACAGGAGGTTGCAGGGTATTTGACAGGGGATAACAAGGCTTACAGGGGCTGACAAGGTTTCCGGTATTCTGATGGGTGCAGTTTACAGGATTAGGCATGTTGACAAGCGCTCACAAGGCGGCACCCTCCCCCCTTACCCACACACTATAACCAAGGTTATTACGCCTCGAAGTCTTCTATTAGCGGTTTGGAAACGAATTAACGATTTGCTTACAGTGGGTCAAAAGTTAACGCTGTTGGAATTACCCATCAAGTCCCACTCTAAGAGAAAACTCCCAGGGGGGGGCAGTGAACTAAGGGCTCATCAGACGTCCCACCTTGAACATCAGCTCTTTCTTGAAAATCTTCGCGTCATCATCGTTATCTTGTACTTCTCCGTCCGTCAACACATCAGTGAGCTCACAGTCGGCTAATTCCTCTTCTTCTATGACTCCTGAGTGGTTGTCCTGAAAAAAGGTGAGTCATTAGGTCCTGATAAAAATCACGGTTAATCACGAATGTCGCACGTCATCTCTTCTGTCGATCGATCGCCTCTGCCTCGCCGACGTCTCTGCTTCATCGTGAGATTCCCGTTCATCCTCACTTTGATGTCCAGATTCCTGGAACAAAAAGATAACAGAACATAGAAAACAAACAAACAGATATAAATAAATAACAGAGCAAACCAAGTTAAACCACTATGAAAACCCAACCTGATGACTCACTTGACATCGAACCGTCTCGGTTCCTATTCTATCGTTCTTTGGATGAAATCCGAATCAGTAATCGAGTGTATTGCACCATGTTCGATGACGTCGTTACAGACACTGAAATAAGGACTATCTTGATTTGCAACATCAAATGGTCGCGTTAAAGAGAGATCAGAGGAGGAAGAACAAAACTTCAATAACACCGCAACTAATTTACATCCCAGAACTAACAGCATACCACTAAATTTCCATCAAGAAGTCCAACACTAGAAATTAAGTGTGTGATTCAGAATTACTAGGATCTAAATGTTACTGAAGATTATAGGTAGCGGTCAGGAGACTCGTAAACTCGTCCACTCGTTCCATGTTCTAGGGTCCCTGGTGCGAGTGCCGCGCATGCGCTTCTGATACAACTTTCGCCGCGCCGTCGCAGCACGGATCTCCTGACCATTATCCAACGCTTATAAATAAAGTGAACCCACGTCATCGATTTCACAGGCGTTACACATTGGCTGGATCCAGTGACAGCTCATACTTCCGTAACGCTCTCCATTGAGGACGCCGGTTTGAAAGCAGAAGCGGAATCTCTGTCACCATGTGGACCTATGAAGAGAACGGTCTTGCACCAGTAGCGAAAGGTAGTTCTTAAATACGGCTCTTCTATGGAAGAATCAGGCACTGTTTGGCCTAGAGGGGGCATTTTGCGTTTTCGTAGCTCCTTTTCTTAGTTTTTGTTAAAACAGGCCTCGCTTTGCCAAGGCTTTTTAACCCTGGATAAGCTGCGAAATTGTTCGAGTGTGCCAGTCTTCCCAATATGGCCTGTACAAGATTAGCTTGTAAGATCTGGTGCCCCCACCAAGTCGAACAGCGCCGAAAAGTTCTGCCCACTAAGAGTTACCTGTAAGTCCGCATACAGTATTCATGCGCTGCCTACGCTGTCCAACTGGAGCCGTAGGCAAGCCACCATCGCCTGCATCGGCATCCGACACCACGACCGCAGTCTGAAATTGCTTCCGTGAATTTCACATGAAAACCAGTCCATATCACGGAGATGTGAAGGGCGTGTCCCAGAGTTGTTTGTGAGCACAGCGGCGCTAAACGCCTATTGGTTCACTCAGGTACTCACACAGCGTGCTTATTAGAGAGAGAACGGCACAAGAGAAGGTCGATAAACTTCTTACGCCTCTGAATCGCGCCACTGCCGCGCTCACAAATGAATACTTGGACACGCCCTCTCTTTTTCCGAGATATGGAGTGTAAATTCTTCGTACTCACATCAACACAAAGCCGATCTTCTGGAATAGACGACGTCGTCAGTTGAGATGTCATGATCGATCGAAGACAATCGAGGATTTCGTTCTGGAAAAGGTTGCAAATAGGAAAAACTAACATGACAAATTCTAAGGCACAGTCCATGCTGATAATATGGGCTTAGATACCCAAGTAGCCAAAGTTGGTGCGTCACGATTTCCACGGCAGGGAAAGGATCAGTAACGAACGCGCAACGGTTGACCGTCCACGCCCATACAACCAGTATGAACCGCCTTTGAGAAAGAGCTTGTTGCTTGCAGGGACTGTCTAACAATAGCTCAGATATTTATTTTCGGAGAATGTCGTTTCTTTGATTCAATAATCTTTTCTAAAAGATTTATAAACTGATAAAATCATGACCTAACCTGACAAGAACCCATCTTGGACAACTGCACATAAGGGAATATGCCGTACAGAAAGAGAACGCTCAAGAAAGCACTTCATTGGAAAAAAAGCTAAAGGCGTAGTCCATGATTACCGAGCGGGCGGAGTCAGTGAACAGCTCAGAACATTTCCCACTGGTGGTCCTTGCTTTCTGAGGTGACTAGAGGCTAATTAAGGAGGTTCAGTTTTGCCCAGTGTATCCGCTCATACGATGAGGGTAAGCCGCGAGGTCGTCATTACTTGGGATTGAATCGACCCATTCGATACCATCTAACCGATACCAGGTATCCCATTGCTCTGTTTGCTACAAGAATTAGGTGGAGAAATCACTTTTTGGAAGTCTTTCGCAATTCCTGTCGGATCTACACCCCACTGGGACAGGTAAGTAGAGGTGCTTAGACAGCAGCAGACCAAAGCATCTCTAATACTCTTTCTAATCGACTACCTAGCCAACAGGAGTCACGTTTCTGTTGGCTGAGCAGGAAGATGACAGGCCAGAAATTACCTGTGTTTTCTCGATGGCCAGCAACCTGTTATCCAGCTCTCCCACCGTCTCACGAGTAGTAACCTCTTTTGATGCAAGATCGTTCAGTCGATTCAGAATCATATCGGTCCTGGAAATAGCTCATTCTCGCACGCGATCAAGGGTTACTGCCAGAAGGTTAGAAGGGTAGTGCTTGGCCAAGGCAAGTCATGACGATGGAGGAAGTTGGTCGTTTAATGGCACCCTCTACCCGTACACCTTTCGCGCGCCTCCAGCAACATACCGCATGAACCTGAACAGTAAGGAACTTCTCCTAGTCCCTCAAAAGAAGAGAGAAAAAGAAGAAAAGCCACGCCAAAGAAAACAACAAAATTTCCTATTAGCTATTCCATCCCAGATTAATCCTTTAGATCACTGCAGACAGGGCATCTCCTGCCGTACAAAAAAAATTTTTGCAAAACGATCCTTCCACAAAATCTACTCTTCTGGTATACCCCCTTATCCATCCTACCGTACCGGTCTTCCTGAAGTTCTTCCTTAAGTCCGCCACCACTTTCCTCGTTTTTGGCAGTCGGACTGGAAAATTTTCTCACTAAGGCAAATGGGACCTTCCCCTCTGTTCAGAGCGACCAAAATGCCCTCTTCACTGGACCCCAAACTGCAACGTGCCCTTAGAAGAGATCACCCGAGAAACCAAGATACGTTTTTCCCACCCTCTTTGGATATCCGAATATTGAGCCATAATGAAGAGTTCCAGAAAGGATCCCGACAATGTCGCGCCCTAACTTTTACCATAACCACACCTTTCAGCGGTCCTTTGTATCCTTTCCTCGTTGCTGGTACGCTTTCGCATCTCTTTAATCCACCAAGATCACCATTCGCAGATCTTCTTCGAATCGGCAACTTTTCGACTTGGTCGGCATCAGAAACACTGAAGAAGTGCTTCAATAGAATTCGTGAAATACTAGATAACAGGCGGTGATAAAATAAGTATATGAGGCCTGCTTGGTTTGGGAGGGGCATTCTGCTCTTTTGCCAGTTCTCTCTGCTATTTCGTGATAACTACAGGTATCATTTTAGTGAAACTGTGAATTCTAGTGAAGCTACGGAGAGGCACGAGAAAGCTGCTTCGGTTACAAGTTTTAACAGGATTCCATAACTGACCTATACAGGCATTGCTGCGTGCCATTAAGAGCCCTCACCAAGCCGAACTGCGCCAATCAGCAAAAAAAAGTCCACAGAATCGTACAGATAAGTGGTTACTCACTAAGACTAAAGTCAAACATCTTCCTTTGTCGACTCCCATCCGGATCTTTGTCATATAGCGAGGATAATTTCATTCGGATATACCTAATGGCAAGGCCTGCATGCGACAGTGGAGTGAACGGAGGTGGTACAAACGGTGTGCTTTCATATTCCATTACCTGTAGGATTCAATCAATAATACACTGGCTGTTATCAGTGATACACCTCAAACAACAAAAAGATATCACTGAGAAGTGATCTATTCGAAAACACATTCCGCGACGAGCGGATGGGCGGAGACACACACCAATCGTGAGCCCATTCTTACACATGTGAGAGAAGGAGCAAGAAGAAGCACCAATGAGGGAAGCACAACGGCTGTGATTCTCCGCCCACTTGCCTCTAATGGTTCTCTACACATGGACTGACCTGGCGATAACGTTGGAACAACCAAATCTGCTGCGCTATCTCATCCGTTTGGTCGAAAATATTGCTGAAAAGGACAAAGCCGTGAAAAAAGGACTCAAATGTTCGAATGATAATCAATTCAAAATTACCACTTACTTGAATATCGCAATTAACATACTCATTAGGAGAATATTCGCGACCAAAAGGAAGAACGTCATAAGCACAGGTGGAATCCAATAACCCGGAACACATGTACTCCCAGATGTGCTGTTTGTTATCGGTACACCTTTTTCTAGATGGGAATCCCATGCTAAAAAATGTTAGCTCTTTTGTTTTCAGATCAGACAGACACGGAACTCAAATGCACAGCCCATGCTGATCGAAAGGGGGGGGGGGAACAAGGCACACCCATAAT